AGGGATTATAACAAATATCTTTACTAGCAGCCTTATAATTATAGGCTCTTATTCCACAACTGATTCTGCATAGGTGATTGCCCATTTACTTCAGTGGAGCTTCATGCTGACACAGAGTTCTGCTTGCATGGTGTCAGTGGCTGGATCAGGACCAAACAGCGTAGAGGAAGTTTTTACAATCTGTCTCTTGGTTGCCCTTTCTTCTTTGTCTGGCTCACATAAACATACGTGGTCAGGTTAGCAAACAAAAAATAAGCATCCTTCAATTAGTGATCTTATCTAGGCATTTGAATTTGTTCAATCTGTTTTCAAGGGAAATGTTGGTTAAACACTTTTACATGCCTGTAACAAACTAATCTGATTAAGCTACACAGAATGTTTCTTTGCTGTTTAAATGCTCCTTAAATTGTTGTCTAACTGTGAAGAAGCTCTTTCAAAGAGTGTGTGTTAATCTCTAAAACTTGACTTCAGAGCATGTGTTGTACTGGTGGAACAGCAAACACTTAATTCCAGATTAAGTTAAGAAAAATCAAATAGGTTGTTTGACAGTAGGAAAGGGTATTTTTAAATTACTGAAACAGTGGCTCAGCTTTTGTTTTCCCACCATGTGAGGAAACTTGAGTACGTTTGCCAGGATTTTGACTTTGATGCAATGAAGTGTATGTTTCTGTATTTTACACTCATTTTTCTGCATAAATTCCAGCAGATACCTCTTTAGTTGAAATAATCTCTCTTAAGGAGAAAATTTAATAAAAAAGTTGAAGTGTTGGCATGTGCTAAATTGGTCACATTAAAAGGTCATGAGCAGAAAATGAAGTTGGAAATCCTCTATTTTTGTAGCTGAATAGATTCATTGAAAAGCTGACAAATGAATTGAAAGATGCTGGGAACTTGGAAGGAATTCTGCTGACAGGACTGACAAAAGATGGCGTGGACTTAATGGAAAGTTATGTTGATAGAACCGGGGATGTCCAGACAGCAAGCTATTGTATGCTCCAGGTTAGTATTTCTTTCCTGAAATAATTTCAGGTTACTCCATTATTCTTCAGCACTATAGTAATATATCTTATATAGCGAACTGAAAAGTGCTTCTTAGCATGTATTAAAAAATGAGATGATACATCATGTACAGTCTATCTACTTTACTTTCAGTGTTTCATTTGGCACCTTAGAAGCAGAGGTTCTCATTGCTCTTTCTGAGGCAAGACATGGAATACTCCTTTCCCCTTCCACTAGCTGGGCTGGGCACACCTAGCTATGGTCTGATACTGACTGAGCTCCCAAGCAGGATCCAGGGATGTTGCTCTGGTAAATGTACCAGAACTGGTGGCAGAGGAAGTTGGATTCTTACCATGTCTTTGCTTCTGGATTGTGTTGGCAGAGTTGCTGTCACCACCACCATTGACCTTTTTCATACTTAACTTTTGGATAGTGAGTTTAGTCTTCTGATGTCTGGTCTACTTTTAAAGCCCTGTGGGTCTGGGTTGTTAAGGGATATCAGAGTGCAAGTGTTTTCAACCTGATAAGAAGACTTAAGCTTAGGGTAAGTATCTGATACACTTTTCAAGCTCTGCACCAGTGTATGTGACTGAATGTATCCTATCATATCATTATACCCCTTCTGCTTTGCTGTGTTCTAAATTTTTGTCCATCCTGATCCGGTACACATGCTGGCTCCCTCTCCCCTTCAGATCTCTCCTCAATTTTGCCTTTTCCCATGTTCCCTCCTTTGTATAATACACACAATGAAAATACTAGTTAAAAAAAACCAACCCAACATTGTGTGCCATGTCACTATAGCAACTGTGTGAAAGCACAGCTTTTTCACACACTTGTTTTTACATGCTCCTCCCCATCCTGATGTTATACTTCCGTGTCCTGTCCATCTTATTTGCTTAAATTGCAAGCTCTTTTGAGTGGGGCTCATGTTTGTGTAAAGTGCTATGCACCTGCAAAGCACTATGTAGAAATGTAAACAATAAAACTTTGTTGTTAATCATAATCTATGAATTAAAATATTGAATACTTGGACAATATGCATATCATGCTTGCAACAAAGCTTGGTATGTTTATAAGATACATGGGTTTCTGAATAGTACTAAAGTGTAGTATTGCATTATAGTTCATGTTTGCTGAATTTTTATTTAATAGATAATTTTGAATGTTTCCTTTAGTCATAATACATTGTATTGCTTCAGATATCTTTTACCACATCATATGAAACCCTCTGAAGAAATAAGTTGTATTGTGTAGAGATGTAAAATATTTAAGTTAACTGATAAGTATTAGTCTTTCTGTCAATATATTGCAGTTAGTGCTTAAAACAAATTAGTGGCAGCCCCAGACCCTGTCTCCCATCGTGTTAATGATTAAATGGTTAACCAATATAATTTGAATAGTTTGAACGGGTACGTTTAAAAATGATATTTAAATCCCTGGTATTGTGTATGTTGGTGGTTTATTTCATGCTTTAGGGTTCTCCGTCCGACGTACTTAAGGATGAGAAGGTTCAATACTGGATTGAGAACTACAGGAATTTGTTGGATGCTTGGAGGTTCTGGCATAAACGAGCAGAATTTGACATCCATAGGAGTAAGCTGGATCCCAGTTCAAAACCTTTAGCACAGGTAAACATGAACTATATTTTTGTGAGCATTTAATAAGGTAAAAAGTTAGTCCTTCAGCACCTCATCCATCGGTTTTCCTTTCCCGCGTTCATCACAGCATCCAATCAGACCTAGCACAGCCTTATGTGCCTTCAGTAGGCCCAGTCCTTCCAACCTTTTCTAAAGGATTTGGGACCTTCTTGGACCCAGGGATCCTGTCCATTTGCTGGGGAAGAAGGTTCTGAGGCCTTTTAAAACCAGGCTGTTTATCTAAAATTCCTGTCTTTCTGTTGGTCCCTGGAAAATCGAGTGTGAACTCTGTGTGTGTGTGTGTGTGTGTACGCCTCTCTAGAGGGTAGCTTCAAAGGGCTGACAACGGAGGAGTTGCATTAGAATCCCTACGAGAGAGGGTACATACTGTTACAATAACACATACACAATTGCCTTTTTAATGCAATGTACCCCCAAAGTATTCAATTAGTATTTGATAAGGTTTTAACGTAATTCATAAGATTTGTTCAGGATATTGTCGGTCTGTCACACATGCACAGAGAAATGAGGCATGTACTCATTGTTAGCTACATCTTGGCCTCCACCTGCAGAAAGGAAGGCCTGGTTTAAGGCCATGCTGAAAATGTTGCTGCAAGAGCCTGTTAAATATACCTAGGGCAGGCAGGGTGGTGGTGGTCTGACAAAAAGCTGCAATCTTGATTGTTAGCTGATGGAAAATAGTACTGAAAAAATCCAGTTTCCCCTTACGAAACAGTGGAAATAAGCTGTCAAGTCTTTTATTAAAATAAGCTCGTTTTTGTTCAGTGTTTGTCTTGTTTTTTTTTAAGCAGGTGTTTATTTTTATAAGTAGAGTAGAAAGATGCCTTCCAACAACTTTGATTTCCAGCACTTTCTATGGTGAAAGCAGGTTCCTTCATCCTCTGCTAAAAAGAATCATTCAAACTGCAGCAGCCCATTGAGCTCTACACTTGTCCCGTTCACTGTAAGAAAATACTGACCGATACGGTGACAAATATTGATTAAAATGTGCCCTGGTTGTTTTTTGGTTTTTTTTTTGGTGTGTAAGATATAAAATACCTTAGATAGCTAAAGAAACAAGAATCAGTTTTTTCCTTAAAATAGCGTCCTGTAGAGTCCTACAGCCTTGTATCTCTAAAGATTCTAAACTTGGTATCTGTCTACCTTCGTGTTCTGGTTAGAACCTCAGATAGGCACTCCTATGTATATTTTACAAACACAAATAAATAGGTTGCTGTTATTGACTTAAGGTGTTTTTTGTGGGTTTTTTTTTTTATTCTGTAGCTGGTTGCAAACTGTCTATTTTGGATGAGATTTTTGCTTTTTATCTTAAATCAGCAAAGCAAAAACATCTCAATTCATGAATATAACTGGATTATTGGTTTACCCTATTGCAAGTATCTCATTCCTATTATTAATTTTGGCTCTTGTCTGTGTTTTTTTGTAGGTATTTGTGAGTTGCAATTTCTGTGGGAAATCAATCTCTTATAGCTGTTCAGCCATTCCTCATCAGGGCCGAGGTTTTAGTCAATATGGAGTAAGTGGCTCACCAACCAAGTCAAAGGTTACAAGCTGTCCTGGTTGTCGGAAACCCCTTCCTCGCTGTGCACTTTGCCTAATAAATATGGGGACTCCAGTTTCCAGCTGCCCTGGTATGGCACAATTTTAAGAAACTCCTTTTTAATGTTAAAATGCAGTACTATTTAAAGGCACATGATTAGTGGCTCCTGTTTAATGACATTGCATTTGTAACTCTTTCTAGTCTTACAATTATTTTGAAAAACTTCTCTCATTGAGTGAAAGATTCACTGGTTCAAATCCCACCCAGTTCAATGATGAGATCCCTGATTACAGTTGTTTGATGTCTGACCGTATGGAAATGAGTTGTTCCTGACCTTTTGCCTGTAGGGTATCAACTCCCTCAGTAAACATGGAGGTTACCCTCTCACTGCTAGAGAGTAGGCTCTCCCAAGTAGATGAGGTACTTTCTGCATTGTAGCCCAGTGTTCTTCTCTTGCTGCTACTGCCCAAGAAGATGTATGTATCCTATGGCTCAAGAGTTCAGTCTTCTGGAGTCTAGTCACACATAGGAGAAGTGTGAGTTTAGTAGTCAGAACACAGGACAGGGAAGAACTAAGAATTCCTGATTTCTAATCCTGACTCTACCGTTTTCCTTTATGAATTTTGGGCAAGTGACTTGACCTCTCTGCTTCAGTAAAATGAGAATAAAACTTAGTTACGTACTTAACAGGATTGTTGGGATTAATTTGATGTTTGTAAAGTGATCTCAAGATGGAAATATGCTATAGAATTGCTAAGAATTTCATGCTATAAACAAAAAGTAGGTAAAATAATACAATAAAATAATACAATAATACCATTTACTAAAGTTGTAAATTACTTGTTGACAAATAACTGTAGGGTGAGAAACAAAGGCAATGGCTGCCAGTTAAAGCTATTAAATATATCTAAGAATATGCACTTCTTACTTTAAGTGTGGAGACTTATTACGTGTACCTTAGAAAGTTTAGCCAACTGTTTCCATTTTACTGCAACATGAAACGTGAATAAGATTAATTCATGCCTTGAAATTAAAATTTAAAAAGCACATTACATTTCTAAAATGTAATTATAATAAAACTTTTCCTCTTCCCTATGACAGCGATGTGTCCTTGATCATGTCCCCTTTTGACCCTGCAACTCCCTCTTGGTGCTTGCAGTCTCTCGCTGGTAGTGAGAACAAGATACACCCGATCCCAGCTTGTGGGGGCTCATTAACTATTTTTTTTTAACACAGAGTACAAAAACCTCATTGTTAGTCCCTCAATTCCACCCCTACTTCTGGTGCTGTGGTTAATTATGACAAATGTCTTTTCCCAAGTTCAGGGGTCAACAGCCACTCTTCCTGGAGCAGAGTTGTAGCTCAAATGGCTCTCTCCTTTAAATCAAGAGTCCACAGCTCTCCTGTTGCTGGGTTGTATTTCAGAACAGGTTCATTCTCCTGAGGTCAGGTTTCAGAGTAGCAGCCGTGTTCGTCTGTATCCACAAAAAGAAAAGGAGGACTTATGGCACCTTAGAGACTAACCAATTTATTTGAGCATAAGCTTTCGTGAGCTACAGCTCACTTCATCGGATGCATTCAGTGGAAAATACAGTGGGGAGATTTATATACATAGAGAACATGACACAATGGGTGTTACCATACACACTGTAATGAGAGTGATCAGGTAAGGTGAGCTATTACTGGGGGGCAGAGGAGGGGGATTTGTGTCCATTTAGTCTTTCATGTAGAGACTGTCCAGTTTGGCCAATGTACATGGCAGAGGGGCGTTGCTGGCACATGATGGCATATCACATTGATGTGCAGATGAACAAGCCTCTGATAGTGTGGCTGATGTGATTAGGCCCTATGATGGTGTCCCCTGAATAGATATGTGGACACGGTTGGCAATGGGCTTTGTTGCAAGGATAGGTTCCTGGGTTAGTGGTTCTGTTGTGTGGTGTGTAGTTGCTGGTGAGTATTTGCTTCAGGTTGGGGGGGCTGTCTGTAAGCAAGGACTGGCCTGTCTCCCAAGATCTGTGAGAGTGATGGGTCATCCTTCAGGATAGGTTGTAGATCCTTGATGATGCGTTGGAGAGGTTTTAGTTGGGAGCTGAAGGTGATGGCTAGTGGCGTTCTGTTGTTTTCTTTGTTCTGTAGTAGGTAACTTCTGGGTACTCTTCTGACTCTGTCAGTCTGTTTCTTCTCTTCAGCAGGTGGGTATTGTAGTTGTAAGAACGCTTGATAGAGATCTTGTAGGTGTTTGTCTCTGTCTGAGGGGTTGGAGCAAATGTGTTTGTATCGTAGAGCTTGGCTGTAGACAGTGGATCGTGTAGTGAGGCTCATTCACCTGCACATCTACCAATGTGATATGCCATCATGTGCCAGCAATGCCCCTCTGCCAGGTACATTGGCCAAACTGGACAGTCTCTACGTAAAAGAATAAATGGACACAAATCAGACGTCAAGAATTATAACATTCAAAAATCAGTTGGAGAACACTTCAATCTCTTTGTTCACTCGATTACAGACCTAAAAGTGGCAATTCTTCAACAAAAAAACTTCAAAAACAGACTCCGAAAGACTGCTGAATTAGAATTAATTTGCAAACTGGACACAATTAACTTAGGCTTGAATAAAGACTGGGAGTGGATGTGTCATTACACAAAGTAAAACTATTTCCTCATGTTTATTTCCCTCCCCCATCTGTTCCTCAGACGTTCTTGTCAACTGCTGGAAATGGCCCACCTTGATTATCACTACAAAAGGTGTGTCTCTTCTCCCCCCCCCCCCCCCACCGTAATAGCTCACCTTACCTGATCGCTTTCGTTACAGTGTGTATGGTAACGCCCATTGTTTCATGTTCTCCGTGTATATAAATCTCCCCACTGTATTTTCCACTGAATGCATCTGGTGAAGTAAGCTGTAGCTCACAAAAACTTATGCTCAAATTTGTTAGTCTCTAAGGTGTCACAGGTACTCCTTTTCTTTCTCCTTTGGTCAGGAATTCCCCACTGTTGTTCTGGAACTGGGTTAGAGTTCAGTCTAGCTTCTCCCCAGCTGGCCCCTCTTTACTCAGTCCTTTCACTTCTCACCTTAGAGAGGTTAGCAGGCAAGCAGCTCTCCTGCTAGTCTCTGGGAGCTCCTCTCTCCAAGAGCACCCTTCTCCAACTGAGCTCTGGTAGCCTCCTGTCAGGTTCAGGGGCTCATTAGTTAGTCGCCAACCACACCCCCATGGCAGTTAATTGCTTACAGATGGGCTCATTCTCCTTAAAGAAGCCTGTCATGGATAGACTGGGTTCTGACTCCCCATAAGGGCCAGCCACCCTGTGATGCTCCCCCATATGTATAATACCTGTTGCAAAAATTTTATTGCTAACTAGCCAACTAATATGTCCTCAGCTGTGCTGTCATGAGGTTTATTTCATAGCTGTAACATCCTTGAGTCTTACTGGTTAAATTCTATACAAATTGTGTTGAAGCTCTCTCTCACTAACAATGCTTATAGTTCAGTATTGTGATATTACAGACATGGAGTATAGTATTGTGTTGTCTCATATACACACATCTTTTCCAACTGTTTCACCAGCTTATCTTAAGATTTCTTTATTGCAATTGTTTCCATTTATAGCTAATTGATATGTTACTATGAGGTTCTGGAGTAACACCCTTCCAAAGCAGAAAAGAAATCCTCACAATGAAATAGCAAAAAGAAAAGGAGTACTTGTGGCACCTTAGAGACTAACCAAAGGTGCCACAAGTACTCCTTTTCTTTTTGCGAATACAGACTAACACGGCTGTTACTCTGAAACAATGAAATAGCTAACATTAGAAAATGTAGCAGTTATTGCAAAAGAAATAGTGTGAAATGAAGCTATTAATAGGCAAGAAATTACTGAGACAGTAAGAGCTAAAACAGTAGCTTAGCAAAATAATTCTATTGCTTGTTCTATTCTTCCTGTTATATTAGCAAAATTAATAAACAGGTGAAAATGTTAATTACCTCTGTTAGGGGTAGAAGTGATTGTTATAAAATCTCAAAATAGAAATGTATTGCAAATACTCTCATATCTTCTGGCTTCTCAGTAGGTTTCATAAGATCTCAGTAGCTTTGGGAGTACCAAAAAGTCATGTCAAATACACACATGGTAACACTAATATTTTAAAATATTTGTGCTTAAATGAGAAATACCATATTGAAGAAAAATGCTAAAGCTTTCAAGATAGTTATTTAATAAATTATTCTACTTTTTCATTTATTTTGGGGTGATAAATTAAGAAAAAGTTATCAGTTTATTTCTGGTTCCAAATCAAGCTCCTACTTTGAATTTTAAGTTCTTTTAATACTCCAATATAGCACAGATATTGACTGAAAGTTCTTACCTATCCATAGGAGTATCAAAGTCAGATGAAAAGGTGGATCTTAGCAAGGACAAGAAATTAGCCCAGTTCAACAACTGGTTTACATGGTGCCATAACTGCAGGCATGGTGGTCATGCTGGACACATGCTCAGCTGGTTCAGGTAAACTGACACAATTAAACATGTAGGCTCTCACATAAATTATGTCTAATGTGCCATATCAGACATATACTTCCTTGGCTGTAGTCTTTATTATATATTGTATTTACTTGTCTGGTATTACATAAAATATAATTTAAGGCATATGCACAAGTGAACCAAGCTTGAGTTTGAGATTTCAGCTTTAACTCTGCATCTCCTGATTTTTGAATCCTTCATCTCCAAGTATTAATACTGCATTAATGCTAGCTTTTGCATGGAATGTATATGTCAGCAGAGCCAAATTTCTGCTATCATCCCACAGTGGAGAGTCTGAGCATTTGCTTGAAATTCAAGACAGTTGTGTGTGATTACAAGACATTATATAACCAGTAATGGCCAGTCATCCAATTAACCCCTCTGCCATTGTGCTGAAAGCCATGCCCTACCTAGAAACCGCTGTAAACATGAACAAACTTTCTCTTTTCCTTGACTGTCTTGGCATACTGGTACTGCTTGATGGTTTTATTTGGAAAGATGTAGGGGAGATCTTTAATCCCTATGTCAGGACAGAAATGGAGAATTCCTGTGGGGGACAACCATTGTTAGGGGTGTTCCAACAGAAAGGGAAGCAGGCTGCCCATGGAAGCAGTCTGACAGAGTGGTGAACTTGCCAACTGGACAAAAGGCTGCTGTTTATCATGGTACTGGGGGTCAGTATTGCTTTGGATCTAGGACAGTGTGTTAATTTCACAAATGTAAATAGTGATTTCACTTTGACAGTCCTGAGGTTTTTTTGTCTTGTCTGTGTTTTTTAAATTTTGATGTACTGTGTTGAAAACATATTCCCTTCTATTTTCTCATGTTATGTTGTGAGGACAGGTGTCAAATGTCAGGTTCATTGGAGTTGTATTCTGACAGTTTAGCAGCATAGCTTAGTTTCTAGGCTGCCTCATGATTTATTGCAAGATGTAGCATGTTGCCCATTAACTATTCTGTGTCATGCACAGTAAGTAGCTTTTTATCCCATTAAACTGTAGGATTTATTAAATTAGGGTCTCTTCTCTCTAGATGTCATGTTATGCCTCCTGCAGTTGGTGCCTACTGCTGGGGATATTTGAGCCCAATTTGTCACACTATATTAAACTCCTTGTCTTGAATTTAAACTTTGAATGTCACAATTTTACATATGAGAGAGAGCATTTTCAAAGATGTAGACAGAACAAGAGAGAGTGTCATTTTAATTTTATCTACTTCAAGTTGACAGTGTGAAACTTACTTTCTGAGCTTCTATGTCCTTTCTGCCTATATTTTCATATAGTTAAAAGGGCTGATCTTCTGCTTTCAGATAACTTATTGCTGATTTATCCTATATGCTTTATTACTGTTTTCAAATTATGTTCAGCTATTGATTTCTCTTTGGTCATGTTGCTGCACAGATTTACATTTTGGGACATACAGGACTGAGATTACAAAGCTGTTCTTTTACAGTGTTATAATTCCCAGTTTCCTTTCTCATCCAGAGACCATACTGAGTGTCCAGTTTCTGCGTGTTCATGTAAATGTATGCAGCTGGATACTACAGGGAATCTCATCCCAGCAGAGACTGTTCAGCCATAAAACAACCGAGTTTCAAAATGTGGAGCTAACAGATGTCCTTCACAGCCTAAATACATACCTCAGAACAAGTAACTCATGACTCACCCATAGTGGGGAAAAATAAATCCTTGTGTTCGATCAGCAATTTTGGTGTGTGAAATAGTTTAGATGTGCTTCACAGAGCCAGGCGTTGCTGGAATGAGCCTTTTAAGTGTGCCATGTGGACTATAGTTAGTGGGTTGAAGCAGATCCTTTTAGAAATATTTCCACAGGCTTTGTTGAAATTCAAAGCACCCTTCAAGAAGAATTTTTCAGAGTAACATTGAACAATCCTTGAATCTGCCATCCAAGAGGAGCCAGTGTTGCATGCTGGTTTTAGTATGAGTTCTGGGCTTTCAACATAGATAATTGAAGACTGTTGTTGAGAAAATCCTGAGTTATGCTGTAGCTTTCTATCTTCTTTCATCACTGCTCATTATATGCAAAGGAAAGAATTTCAAAGAAAAGTATCAAGAGTCCAGCTATTAAAACATTTAATTTCCCCCTATGGATTTTTCTTGAAGGAAAAGTTGCATTCATGTAATTTTTTTCTGTATTAATTTTGTTAATACTAAGACTATTTCAGTGCAAGTTCAGCTACATATCTTGCTGTTTTGAATGTAAAATCTTTCATTCAAGTTTTTTCCTAACAAACAGTTTTGAAGAATTATTTCATAAAAAGCGGAATATCCACTTCAAAACAGAATACAAATAAATCCTGATTCATTTTTAATGAAGGACTCTGTGTGCATGCAAAATATTATCAAAACTCTCATTTTGTAAAAATTAATCAGATTCAATTCAAATTTATGATTACTGGACCAGTTTAAATTTCAGATAACCTGAAGATTTTGAATATTCAGTGTTTACCTGCTCTTGTGAAATGCACCAATTCTAATTATGCTACAGATTACCAGTGGACATTGGCCCTCCTCATAAAATTGCACAGTTTTTAAAGTTTCTGGTCAAGAGCAGTTTCATAACCTGTTGCTAGTCAAGAATAAAATTCCTTAGTGGAGCACTGAGTGTCATTTGGCCACACTATACTTGGCTCTAGTGAGTGTTTGTCCTTAATTTTTATAAGCAACAAAATTCACACATTTAGAAGAAACTGCTTTAAGGTATGTGACAATAACATCAGTTTATTTGGTGTGTGTGTGGTTTTTTTTTTTTAACTGGTGAATAAAAATTGATACTTAACACTTACGTATTGTCACTCAAAACCCCAAATGTTAGAAGATGGAACACTAGCAATAAATGCTATCTTATTGCCAGTATTGTGAAAAATTGGTCTTTAAAAAATAGAACATACTGTAAGATACTACTGGTTACCAGCATTCCACTGTATTGGCAATAAAGTAGAAGCCAAATGTAAATTATGTATATGATGCATCACCAGCGACAGTGGGTTTTTTTCCTGATTAAACCAATTAATGTTTTAATACATTTATTACTTTACCCTACCCTAAAATTGTTACCTAATTGGTAGTCTTATTTTTAAACTAAATTGTAAAAGGTACTTGATATTTGATTATTTGTACAAAGGCTTACTTGGAAGAGGAAAAGTTTGTCTTATTAGCAGGAAATATTTATTTCTAGCTACCCATTTATATTTTGCACGCTTTGTTTTGATGTTGTCAGGGGTTTCTGCCGATCTGAAATATATGCCATTTAATAAATGTAATTTTGAATTTAATGCATAAGGTATTGTTCTAATGATATAGTGCAGGCAATGTAATATTTAGGTTTGTTTCACAGGAATCTGGATTTTTTCAAATGTCAATTTTTTATTTTGAATTCTTCCCCCCCCCCCCCCAAATATTCAGTATGTACAACAGCATGACTACTTATTGTCATCTTTCCCTCATGTAAAGGTGTTCTCATTTTGAATTGTCAGATCCTATTCTCATGAAATTAGAAGCTTACTTTGATTTTCTTCATGTCTTTAAATCCTGAGAGTTAAGAATGTTTGTATATTCTGATACAGCATAAGCACATGTAGTCCGTGCTCAAGCTTTCAGGCATATACATTATATTTTAACACTCCTTTCAGTATAACACGAGAAGTGTAATGTCTTCAACATTTTAAACTTGTTAATCCATTATCACTGTTTTCTCCTGTGCTGGTTTTAAAATAATAAAGTTGTAGTTTGTCTGTCTGATTTGCTGCTTTAACCTGAATTGCTTCTTTGTGGTTTTTATTTTCATGGTCTCTTAGCATTCTACTGATGCCACAGTCCATGAAGGTAGAAGTACAGTAAAGAATAAATGTACATGCAATTTCTGTTAATGAAATGCTGTTTTTTCAATATTTTTGGTTTAGGTTTCTATACTGGATTCATATTTATTTGATACCAAATGGGAATATTTATATCTCACTAGAAATTCCTATAATTAACATGAGATGGGATTGCAATTTGTGTGGAGTCTGTGACAACAATGATACTCAAATAGGGAGGGAAAAATCTTTGCCTCAGTCCTCAGAAAAAGACACTAAATACAGGAGCTGGGGAGGGGAGTTGCAAAGAAACAGTTTGCAATGCCAAATCTGGGTGGCCATTCCTATCCCTGGTATACTTTAGAGTGGCCTCAATGCTGGCTATAGCTCCAAGTGCCAGCCAATACAGTGTGCTCTGTCTAGGCCTCTTCTCTCCCACAGCCATATACCTTCAGCTAATTGTGCATAACTATAACAAGGCTGCTGTTCTACCAGATGTTTTGCTGTGGTTACAGCTTCAGTAGTTATTCTTCCTGAGGTTGGAAACAGCAGTGTCTGATTACTTGTTTGTATTTCTCATATGATTTTGGAAATATAAATGGTAGAGCACTTTATGAAAGATTGCTGCTATTACCTAACCACCTGTTTCTGTCATTTTCTTTCCAGGCCTTCTTTTTATGTATATAAACATTGAACACACACATCTTTAATGTTTTATAAGTGGACACTAACAAAATCTAAACAGGTAGTATAAAATGGCTTTTAAAAATAGCAGACAAGGTTTTGAATCTGCAAACGGGTTTGCCTGGAATGCTTCTGAATGGTGTGTGGCTGGTATATATAATTTACAACAGGCATATATTCCTAAATTCTGCACACCTAAATTGTCAGTTAAATACATTTTACCCATGAACTGGTGTCACATCGATTTATAACAGATTTGATTGACAAGTAAGTTTCATCTCTAGGCTCTAAATGTCAAAGCTGTGGATAGCAAATGTGTTTTTGGCTGACAGTTT